AATACTCTTCTAGAACAACCTTTCTGTGCTTTGTCTGTTCTGTTATTGTCTGGAGCAAAGGCTGGGTACATCCTTTGTGTATGTTTTTGTCCCTCACTTTTTATGTTAACTTAAAATAGTGACAAGTGGTAATGGTGAATGAATGGGATTGGCTAAAAGTAATATTAAAAAATGCAGTAGTCAATAGTGCCAAGAGTTCCCCTATAGAATCAAGATGATAGCTGTTATAATTTCTAAACAGTCCTTTGAGAAAAAACTTTGATTTATTCCTGCCTTTGCATTTTATCTACCTCTCATTGCTTCAGAATATTTTGTTTCTGTGGTGGTTTATGTAATCTGGCCTGTAGATCCCTGGCTCCAGCTCAACTATTTCATACTTCATGGAAAAGAATAATGGAAGTGGTGAGATTTAATGTGATAAAGTAGGCTGGGACAGTATAGTTATACCCTTGAAGAAACTTACTGTGCCTGTGTATGACACCCTACTGCTCTGGGCTTTTAATGTGCCACCTCAAGTAGGTCCTCATTATTATTTCCATCCAGAGATTAATTTCATTCCCATCACCAATTCCAAAGGATGCATATGTCAGAATGCACACCTCATTGCTTACAGTCATCAAGAAAGAATCTAGACAAACAACATAGTCTGTAAAACTTAACAGCCAGAGTGATCTGGCACCTAACCTTGAAGGTACATCATGTTCTCCAGGCCTCTGGCCTTCTACCTCTATGTATCACAGCTACTTCCATTTCTCAGGACTTGTTTCCTCTCCTATATTGATGGCCAGTTGGCACCCATATTCATTGTCCTTCTTTGAGCCATAAATATTTATTTCTAGTGTGGGTGATGCCAGAAGTTGGTTTCAGTTGTCCAGAATACAGGCAGAAATTGGACAGAGGTTTTCCACTTGCTAAGCAGGTGGTAAACTCAGGTGGTCTCCAGGCTGCAGCAAGAATTTCTTATCCTGCCTGGTAGCAGCAGCCCTGTGGCAGAGGAGAGCCTCAGTCTCCTGGAATATCAGGAAAAGGTGCCAAGACTCCAGAGTTGCTTGTACTGCAGTTTCCTGCAGATGTCCCTGGAGCTGAGACCCAAGTGAGAGGCTAAATTTCACCCCACCTTTCTCACTTAGGTCACCTCACATGGGGTCTGGGCAAGAGGTACTCAGTCTGGATCCCAGCACGGATCAGTGAGCTCTGTGTGTGTGGAGAGCTTCAGCACCTGCATAGGTCCTGCACTGTGCTCAGTTCAACCATCATCTGGCTTTGAAGCTGCCTAAATCTGTCCTAATGAATCGTTGCAACCTAAATCCATCACCTTGGCTTTCAGTTTCTGCCTAAGGAGATTTGCTGTTACTCCCAATTCTACTCCATTATTACATACCAAATTCTCTGACTATGGAAACTAGTTACAGGATTTATAACCCCAGGCATAAAAATAAGTGGCATGAGCATAAAGATGTGATCTCAGAAATACAAGTCAAACTCCCACTACTAAACACATCTGTTGTATGCACCTGCCTTTCTCTTAACAGGGTTGTCAGCTGCCCCTTTTCCTCTTTCCATGTGCTTCCACTGTCGAAGTGTTGGCTAATACTGAGCACAAACCAGTGGTAATAGCCTTACAGGAGGTAATGGCTCACTTAATGTAAAAAATAATTAAAAAAGCTTCATCTGTCATCAGTGAAAGCAGTAGTTACTAATAGAGCAGTAGGAAGTAAAATAATGTCTTTGGAAGTATAGCATCCACTCAGTGGGAAGAGAGGAGTTGTAAATGAAGCTACTCAGTAAAGCATTGCTGAATCACAGTGGGGTTTATTTATTTAAAACCCATAAAATTGTAGATTCACATACACTAGTGATTAGAAACATGGGCAGATCCAGTCTTGATCCATATATCTGAGTGGCACCTTCATTGTTTTCTATGGAAAAGTATTTGAACAGTCACATTAGTTTTGTCATTTTCTTAACTTGTGAGAATATTCAGAATCAACCCCTTCTGTTATTTTCCCCTAATCTTAATTAATTCTGTGGTAATTTCTTGCTTTAAGTACTCAAGTAATGTTTCTTTCTTTTGCTGCCTTTCCTATAAATTGCTGACTGCCATTTCCATCCTACCTCCTAAGCATGATATTTGCCATTGATGGTGATTGGTTTTTCTCTCAGTATTTGTTAAGATCCAAATTCAGGACTAGACATGCACCATTGGTGATGGCAGAGGTGACATAATATCTTCCTCCTGCCATGGGCAGGGACACCTCCTCACTAGATCAGGTTGCTCAAGGCTCATCCAGCCTGGATTGAACACCACCAGGGTTGGGGCAGCCACCACATCCCTGGGCAACCTGTGCCAGTGTCTCATCACCCTT